CGCGCTGTGGCACGTTCAAGTATATATATACTAGTAGCAACGGAGCTAATAATAAAAGGATTGCGCAATTGGCTGATGTTCAAATATAGGTCACTCCATGAACTGGTTAACCTTTCATAGTAGGGCGTGGACGAAGTAACAACTGTAATTATCTTTATCAAAGCAAATCAAATGAACATGGTTTTCAAACTTGAAGTCACAGTACATAACCTTTTTAGCCAAATAAAATAGAATCATGTTTTTTTCATGATTTAGATGTTTTTATTGCATTTAAAATGTAGAAGCTGTGAGCGTGCTTGGATTTCCACAAACCTGACTCATTTGTAGGGATGCCACGATCCAGCTTTTTTTTTTTTACAGTTCCGATACCAATTTCAATACTATAGCTTTAAGTCTGATTCCTGATATCTGATACCAGTGCAGAGACTGAAAACAGAATTGATTTCTTTTAAATTTAAAATAAAACAAGACAAAAGTGATCCAAATGTGTTATGTAGTTGTTATTTAACACCTAAGTGATTACAGAACAACTCTGTATAAATAAAAATTCAAACTTCTTTCTTGGCTGACTATGATCAGTAAATTACATCCATTTATATGCCCAACCAAGATATTGCCTGAACCGATATTTGGAAGCCGATATCCAATACCAGTGTCAGAACAGTGTATCCCTACTTATTTGGCCAAGAGTAGGGCCAAATAATGTTCCTTTGGTTATACTCCTCCACAGTTACATAATGTGCATCTGCCTCCATGGCAAAGGTTCTTAAATATAATTTTCACTTTCTCTTTCCATGGAATCATGCAGGCGACTCGCCAGTGCCCCCTTCAGAAAGTTACATGCTGTACCTTTGACTAGTTTAATGATAGTCTTATTTTACTCCACCAAAGTCTGTGCTCACATTCTTTCACTGACACAGGACTGGCTGTGGCCCTATCACTGAAGGCCCCAAGCTGATCATTGTGCAAGTGGTACATTCAAGATACATGATACTTGTACCAACAGAGCTTACGGGGAATAAACGGACTGTGAAGCTCTGGCCAACTGGCTTATGTTGAAATATAGGTCATTTCTTGGACTTAAAACTAATAGAGGTGAATTACATAACGGCTGTATTTTGTACGGACTTGTAATCTGACCCTTGTGAATCTACATTTGTGTTCTTTTTTTGGCCTAGTCCTTCTTTAGAACTAGTAGCAATTGTCAAGACCTATTTTAGATCTTTTTCAGCCCTAGTCTAGACCTGGATTAACTCTGGTGGTACTAGGAAGGTCAAATATATCCTCAACTTATTGTGAAAAGTTTAAAGTTTAATGCAAAATCATAACGTTATATAATAATGTTCTCTAATCAAAAACAGAATTGAATGTCATCCATCCCTTTGAGTGTCCTTTGAATTAAAAGATAACATGGTGATTTCAGTATGTTATGTAATCTAGAGTTTATTACACTGGGCTTGGCTTATTTGTTATTGGGTAACAGATGTACTATTCAAGATTGTTCCAAAATATAATTACACCATTTTCACAATGTATTTAATGCATTTTAAATTGAGAAGCGAATATTTTAGGTCTCATAACACACGCACAAATCGGATAATAACTGATTAAACACATGTTGCGCCTTTTTAAATTCGGTTTTGCAGTGGGAGTACTCATCTGAAAAGTTTTGAAGACTTCTATTTTGGAGTTATCCTATATACCGGATTTGTATGTTTAAATGTTGTTTCCCTCTGTGCAGGTTTCACAGCCATCACGGCCACTAACCCCATCTGGCTCATTAAGACTCGACTGCAGCTCGATGCAAGGTGAGGGACGATATTCTTCTGATTATTGTAGAAAGATCAAAAGCTACAATAACAACAAACATTCTACTTGCAATTATTCATACTTCTGGAAACGTATGGGTTAACAAATGTTGTGATTCTATTTAATTATCAGTTTACATTTTAGCCTACTCTCAAATATTATTGCTCTTGGACTTGAAAAGAAAATATATATTCTATAGATTGTTATTAAAAGTAAACCAATCACACAGAATTATTATCATATGTATTTAAAGCCTTATTCACCTGGGATAAGTACAACCTGGGGACGTCTGGTAATTTGCTTATCCCATATGAATGCTGCAATAACATAGAGCTGGGGCGGTAATTTGCGAAGTCTGTAAATTATTCTTATTTTACTGACACTGACATAGATTGAAAGAGATGCAGATTCGACGGGACGACCAGACGTCTGTGTTTGGCGAAGTATAGTAGGTAATTTGTGGCAAAATCTTTACTTTTATAAATTACAGACATGGCCATGAAACCACCAAAATTCCACAGGTAATACTAATCCCATGCAAATAGGGTTTAAGACATTTTATTTATTCTACCAATGTCTTAAAACTACACCTTTATTGACAGAGGATTGGCTCTAGATCTGTATATTAAAGTTCCAAGATGATCATTCATGATTTGAAACTATGAGCTCTTGTTCAGTTACAATTCAATTAATTAAAGGTGCACTATGTCACTTTTCTGGTAATCTGCCACATATTTGACTCCATATACAGTAAATGTTATTGTTTTTTCCTGAAATGGCAATAGTATGGCATTTAATTGAAGTGTCTCCATGGCGACAAGCAGGCCGCATCAGAGCTGTGGAGATACTTAGACTTGCTTACAGTAAGAATACATGTTTTTGTGATAGTTTTGAGAAATAAAAACACCTGTGAACTAATAAATTCAAGATATATTTGTTTAATGCCATACTGTGGAACATCCAGGCCCAGCAATGACATCACCATGGAGACGAGCAGATGGCGTACCCTCCATCAGAGAAGTTACACAGTGCAGCCTTGTAAAATAATACGTTAGACTTGTAAACAATATAATATCTTTTGTGTTTCTAAAATTCCATTTGTTGCAGGAACCGTGGCGAGCGGCGTATGAACGCGTTCGAGTGTGTGCGTCGCGTGTACCAGGCGGACGGCCTGAGGGGCTTCTACAGGGGCATGTCTGCGTCGTACGCGGGCATCTCAGAGACTGTGATCCACTTTGTGATCTACGAGAGCATCAAGAGGAAGCTGCTGGAGGCCAAAGCTCAGCCCATGGACGAAGACGAGGACGCCTCCAAAGACGCCTCCGACTTTGTGGGAATGATGCTCGCCGCGGCAACTTCCAAAACCTGTGCCACCACCTTAGCTTATCCTCACGGTGAGACGAGGGAGACGTTTTCTACCTTCTGTACCATTTTAGCTGTATTTAAAATGTATATAGGTTTTCATGTTATTACTTCATTGGGTGGCTATGGTAAATATTTATCATTTTGCATCATTCAAGTGGCAGTTTGTGAAGAAAACTTAAAAAATAAAAGTTGAAAATTACAGGAAGTAGCAATGACTATTATAAAGAAATCCCTCAGCCTTGCAAGTTACATTTTGGGAAAATTTTTTGTTTAGTGAGCTCAAAAGTGTTAGATTTAGTTAGTGATTCATTTGGACAAAAAATCTTCCAAATAAAGTCCAAAAGTGGCACAATATCAACATTTCTGGAGGAGGGTCATTATCTGCTTGTCTCCAGGGAAATTATTAGTTATTGCTTTGCCCAGTACGTTCCACTATAGGGCATTAAACTGATCTACACCATCTATAATTGAATAAATGCACTGGATAAATTTAATGCCATCCAGTCGAAGCAATAGCATCACATGGAGACGAGCAAGTGGCAACTCTCCAACAGAAAAGTGAACAAGTGACCTTTAAGAAAACTTTGATAGCGCAACTTTTAAACAACCTTTCCACTTTTTGTGTCTGCAGAAGTGATCCGGACGAGGCTACGCGAGGAGGGCACCAAGTATCGCTCCTTCTTCCAGACTCTAACCACAGTCCCCAAAGAGGAGGGCTATAGGGCGCTGTACCGAGGCCTCACCACCCACCTGGTCCGACAGATCCCCAACACCGCCATCATGATGTGCACCTACGAGTTCGTGGTCTATCTCCTCAACGGATAAAACGTCTTCCCTTTTAGACTGTGTGTTACCTCCCCTCCGTACGACGTGGAAGAGACTAACGGGCTACTGCACCCAGCTTTAAGACTGACCCCTCTATTACATGAAGACGCACATGAAAACTGTTAATGAATGGTTGGGAGAATTCTGTGTTTTAAAGTGATACAGAGGGTTATGTGTTGTGGGTGAATGCGACAACAGGAAATCTACCGTGTTCAAGTCTATTTTTGTTCCACCTTTGGCTTACAATACTTACAAAGGTTGTGTTTGAAATTCCTATATTTTACAGTAGAGCTGGTGGACAGGCTGGAATTCTGTGGTGAAATTTACTGTTTCACTGTCTGTTTGCAGATTTGTTGACCTGGTTTCTGGTTAATATCTGCGAAATGATAAGTTTGGATATTTATTTCAATAGCAGTAAATCTCCCATAGAGTTATATAGGCCCGTGACGTCAAACTGTACAACTTGAACGCAACCGTGTCTAAAGTGAAGTATAGAAAGTACAATAATTTGTTCTCTGCGTTTGACCCATATTTCAATGCCGCCGGTCTGGGGTTTCAGACTGTCAGGAGCAGTGGGCGACTGCAGTGCAGCGCCCAGGAACCCTTGAGCAAGGAACTTTTTTGGTCAGAAGTACCTAGTTGGAGGTTTGCATTCAAGTAGATGCTACAATGCAGTATGTATATTTACCCTAACAGAACTAACAAGGCTGAATAAATGACACATCCTGGCCTTAAACTGCTAAATAAACTATTGAAATTACTGGCTTTTCCTTTCAAGGTCAACTTTTTTGATGGAGGTTTCATGGGGTTGCTTTTGTTTTGCCTTGAATGTTTCACTGTATGTCATTAAACTTACGTATCTTACACTTATTCAATTACAGAAAATTACAAAAAAACTTGAAAAACATGCTTTCTTACTTACCAAATCTGTAATTGAAATTGAACTTTTTGGCATTTCGCTTGTCTCCGCGAAGATAAAACTTTAATGCCATATTGTGAAACATTCCATAGAGTCTAACGCACAGACCCTCTACCAAAAAAGTTCCGTGTTGCACCTTTTAGCTATAGTTTTGAATATTCTGCTTAAGCTCGCCTATTCCTCTTGCATGCAGAAGTCCAGGTTTTCAAGAAGACTGTGACGTTAAAACAAAGCTTGAAAGATGTGCCTTCAGTTTAGATTACAGAGATATAATGTTGGAAGTGTCTAGGCGAAGCCATTGGGTATCTATGTTGTAGTTAGAATATTTTGCTATTGTTGTACACTGGTGTAATGGTGCTTGAGCTCATACACTGCACAAAATGAAAACCTCTAAAAGTTCAAATGGCTGAAATTCTAAATATTGATCTAGACTTTAAGAGGGGGTATCATGCAATTTTTTTCTTTTTGCTTTCTACCATGTTATAGAACGTCCATTCATCAAAACAAGCTTGAAGAGGTTTTAGTTTTACATGTTTCAGTAATTTAGTGATCTCTCCAAGGCACTAGTCAAACCCTATTTACGGTTAGCTGTAAGATTCTGTCCAATCCAGTTCCACAATTTTATGTCACCCCTGCTCCCATGCGACAATTCTCCATAAATATACAAAAACATGACACAAAACTGCATACAACAACTTGACAAACCCGATCCATTGTGCAGTAGTTTCATGAGCAGGATGCACGCCGATTGTGCTGTGATAACGCTCTGAAGGGGTTCTGACTTAAACTTGTGTTATTTTTGGCGAATTTTCAAAAGGGTAAAATGGTGATAGAAGTCAAAAAAGTGTAATATCCCCTCTTTAACTAGACTCGATTTCTGAATTTACTGGTATTTCCTGAGTATTTGACTTGTTTTAAGATATCCTGGTTTAAATGCATTTTTCTTATCACACATTTTATCCTATTGGTTGAAAGCCATGTATTTATAATGTAATTAACCCCACTCATAATTTCTTACAGAAACAAGCCAAATAAAGTAAATAATGTCAAAACTATGCTCAAAACTACTAAAGCCAATTGAAATGTATTGAATTTCTGTCATTTTAACCAATGTAAGTGTCATTTTTTGCAGTGTAGAAATGCCGTAGCCTATTGTAAACATATATTCCTCTAAAGAGTCCCTACCCACAGACCTGTTAAGCAAAAAGACAGTAAATACATAGATTTGGCTCAGACTACTGCAATATTAAAAGAGCCAATTGTGAAATGAAAAGCGCAATGCATATAAAAAAAAAAGATACCTACATTTTAATATAAATATTTTCTATAAAGATGTGTGAGTCCATGTGTTTTTGACTTTTTTTGTTTTAACCTGGTTGTTTTGCAAACTTCAAAATCATCAGAGTTTGAGTTTTTTTAATTGTGAATTTCACCAATGAGCAATACAGGATTTAAGAGAAAGAATAAAAAAAAAAAAAAAAAGAGAGACCAAACCAAAACCTGCCCACCGAGCTTATATCAGGACTAAACGGGCCTAAACCGTAACTAAACCAGGATCCTGAGTCCTCAACTGAACCAGGACTAAATAATGGTCCTGATTTGAGACTACACTGGAACTAATATGGGACCAATTCAGGAATAAAACTGGTCTGTTTTTAAAGATGCAACGTGTAGCTTTTCTGGTTCGGAGTTTACGATCTGCTGTCGCCACGGAGATGTCATTGCTTTTTACAGTATGGCATTAAATGTATCTGTCAAATGTGTTAAATTGTAAGTGATTTAGAGTAGAGTCGCTTCTCCAAAGATCTGACTTGTAACTTGATCTAGTATCGTCACCTGTTTATATTTTAATGCCATACTTTGGAACATTTGACACTTACTATGTATCTTTATGGACACAAGCGACACAGGTCTACCCTCTACCAAAAAAGTTACATAGTACAGCTTTAATATTTAAACTAAACCTTATCGGCAAACTGGTTGTTCGTGTCCCTCAGTTTGAGAACCACAGCTGTTTAACACTTGTTTTATGTTTTGACGTTTCTGGGTGCATTTTTGTTTTCCGTTTTTTGTTTTTGTTTTGAATTATTTAGCACCTTTGCAAATTATTCCTTCCTCTTTTTTTTTTTTTTTTTTTTATTTTACTTTAAGTTTTCTCGTCTGCCCAGGACTTACAGAGGCGAGCACAATCTTTTGAGTTTACTTTGGAAATGTATCATCCCGAAAAAATGCAAGAAACAAGCTGTCCGTTCACGCACACTCAAATTAAACGTGTCAAAACCAGTATTTCCTGGCGTTTCTTCCTAAAATTAGCAATGAATTTTCAAACAGTTCGCATCTATGGCACTTAAGCTTTAAGCATTTTGTTTTTCATGCATTTTATGACCTTGAAAATCTATTAAAGGCTGCCTCGTTTTAGACCTATGCTTTTTACGCCCTGAAAAATCAAAACTCTACTCTGAACTTTTAAAAATTGTTGTTTTTTCCATTCATACATTCATTATCTTAAAGGTGCACGCTGTAACTTCTGTGACTGAGGGTCCACCACCTGCCGGTTTCCATGGTTATCGCCTTGCCTGCTATGCTCCACTCTATGGCATTAAACTTGAAGACGTTACAAGTTACAGATCGAATTTATGAATGTCGTACGTGTGCATTGATTAAATTGTAGACAGGTAATGCCATACTGTGAAACTTCAGAGGCCAACCAATGATATCTCCATGGAGACGAGCAGATGGAATTACGTAGTGCATCTTTAAGGTATTTTTTGCATTGTGTTTTGCTGGTGTTTCTTTTCACTTGTGTACTATCAGGCTTTGAAAATGATTGAAAACCAAACTGTATCTTAGCGGTGTATTCTGTGCAGAGTATGCATAAAGCTTGGTTAATGAAGTAGCCCGACTAACATTCTAGAGCGATATTCTGGTAGTTTTTCTAGTTTTATCAATGCACTTGTTATAGTTTTTTTCATGGTTTTAACAGGGTTTCATTGTACCTGATGCAAGTGGTTGACAGTCATATGGCGTTACACAATGAGAAGGATATACACTTGAATACCTTGCTTACTAATAATCTAGTTTGGAATTTAGTTTTGCAATTTTTTTTTTGTTTAAACAGTATTTCGATATTGTAAGCTCAGTACAATTCAGTCAGTGCAAACTCAAAAGACTCGATCAGAGCCAAAACTAGACTTAAAGGTACACCATGTAACTTTATTTTGATGTTCGTCGCTATATATGTTATTGCTTTGTCTGGAATGTTACGCAGTATAGCTTTAAACATGTCTATCGGTCAAGGATGTCACAATAACCGAAATATCGTGATATCGTGTCGTCAAAGTTCTCACCATAACATCGTGGGCCATCACAAAATATGGCGAATTACGAGTCTCTTTGCTTAAATTAAGAGTTATGGTGCAGCAAAAACAAAAAAAAGACAGAGGGAACTACATAGACCATGATCCTTTGCATCATTTCAGAGCAGACTACATGAAGAAATAACAGTTCTAAGCACTTTTAAGTTTTAGTTCTTTGGATTAAGTCTTGTCAACGCATTTTAAGAGGAAAAAGTAGTGCAATTTTGTTAGCCTCCACAAAATATCGCAATAAATATCATACCATGATCGGTATCGTACTTGGATATCGTTACACCTATTACTACTATTTGGCATTATTATTATTTATTGTTTTTAAAAATGTCTTGTAAACATGCTTTCTTAAACGGGACTTGCCTCTCCACAGATTTGACCGATAGAACAAATTAATCTCATACTGTGGAACATTCCAGATTAAGTGGTAACATATCCACGGAGACAGACTGCTGATTGACCCTCACCTGAAAAGTTACAGAGTGTTCCTTTAAAAATGAATTTAGTTCTTTAGTCACATCCATGATCTAAATAGATGAATGTATCCAATAATATTTAAAAACTATATATGGTAATTTTCCTGAACTCAATATTAATGCAACTACTTGTGGACATTGTGTGAACTGCAGCCATTTCCATTCTGTCATGAACTTGGATGAGCAACAATGTTCTTCAGTGTTTGTTTTTATTTTTTATTTTGAAAGTGTTTTTTCCGTGACCATTTCTCCTCCATGTTGTTAAAAAGCCAAATTATTCTGTCTATGCATCGTCTGATTCCTGTTTTTGTCAAGTCAATAAAGTATTTAAACAGTATAGATTTCTTTTTTTGTTTATTTTTTAAATTGTGACTTATAAGGCCACAGCTGCCCTGGGGTGGACTGACAAAAGACATGTCTTCGAATCAGTGTCAACTGCAACAATCCCTCTGACAGCCACAAATCTTCAAAATAAATAAATAAACAAAAACAAACAAACAAATAAATAATAATAATAATACATGGGCCTATTTTGATTTCTTTCAAAGTCAGATGTTTTGTTTGTGTCATTGTTTCGGCTTGCTGTAAGGAATGAGTACAAACATCAGATAAACCAAATAAAACTGCCTAAAAAAATTAAAGGAATAGTTAAATCGCACACTTGTGTCTTGCCCAAGGACACAAAATAAGCATTAGTTGGAGGAACTTGCATCAATCTTGTGCTTTAAACATTAAAAGCAACTATTCATAGTAACATCTATACACGACTGTGTTTTGTGCAGTGTTGGAAGGTAATGAAGTACACAAGAACAGTACTTAGGTATCTGTCCTTTATTTAAGTCATTTTTTTTTACTGTGGACACTTTTTACTTTTACTTCACTACATTTGGGAGCATGTATCTGTACTTTCTACTCCAACTACTACTTGATCGAAATTCTGAGCAAACCAAATAGCCACACAAAAACACAAAAGCGGCTTGAAAAATTAAGAAATTGATTGAGTCACTTAAAATCAGCTATTTCTTAAAATCAAAATCACTACATTTGATTAATTATTCTAAAATCTTGGTAAAATACTTTCTACGACATTTTAAAGTACTTTTGTTGTATTACTTAAGAAGGTTTTTTTCATGGGTTTCTTTTTACTTTTCTTTTATTTTAGACTTTTTTTTGCCCCTGTGTCTGTACTTTTACTTAAGTCACAAAACTGAGTACTTCATCCACTGCTGGTTTTGTGTAGAGCCAGAGTAATAAAGTAGTATAATCATAACAGCAGCACGTTTGAATGTTTGTCCCTGTAGTGCACACCAGGGGGCAGTGTTGGACCAAATACTTGACAGTGTGTGGTCTGCTCCTATGAAAATATTGTATGAAAATAAAGATGATAAATGAGTTTCAAGCATTCATCTGATGTTCTGTGCCCCGTGTTGCTTTATAAATTGTGTTTGGAAGCCAGTAAATACATTTGAGTATAAAGTGTTTAAAAGCAAAACAGTAAAGATTAGCCAAAAGTAACAAACCAACATCTGGGAAGATACATAACAGAGAATCTATTTTAAAAGAATGTGCTAGTATTTTTAAATGTAACTTTGGCACATTTGACATACAAAGATCATGCTTGCAACATACATTTTGGATTACTCATGGCAATAAATTCACTGTACTGACTCTCTGTGTCTGAGATCAGAGGCACTAAGGATGACATCTGAGAATAACAATTTGGACCAATTTATGAAACTGCACATTTTGTCCAAGACAGTATATGCCACTACTTTAGTTAGCAAATGTATGAAATAAGGCTGGGTGATATGGCCAAAAATGTAATCTTGATTTTTGATTTTGCACACCCTGGAAGATTTTGTTTCTAATCAATTTGAATCAAACTCAGAAGAGAGACTGCTACGTAGTCTTTCAAACAAGGGAAGCTCTTTACATTTGAATTCTTATCACATTTGAAAATGTAAAACTACATTTGTATAGATATCTATTTGCAATTGCACAGCCCAATTGCATAACCCTGTTTTGCAAGTAAGAAAATCAGGCATAAACTTGTTTCATAATATTCCTCGATTTCACGGTTTCGTTGTTTTTCAAAATCTCGATTAAAAAAACAGAATTAATCAAATGAATTTGAGTCACCGCCCAGCTTTAATATGAAACACACTTTACAATGACAAGGCCAAAGTAGTCTTACTTTACAGAGAAGAGAGGATCGGATAAAAACACTCAAAAAAAAAAAAAAAAAAAGTACTCAAATAGAAAGAAACTAAACTTATCAACCACAATACACAGTGATGATACAAACCAAAATGAATGGTGCAATCTGAAAAGCAGGTGGTATTTTTGAGCAATAAAAACACTTTTAATTGAGTAACTGCAAGTGGTTTAATGTCATACTTTGGAACACACAAGTCCAAGCCACAAGAGTTTTATGGAGGCATAAGACTTTAAACATAGTGCAGCTTTTAAAGGGAGTAAACTTCATTCCACAAAACACCTGCACGCTTCTCTTCACTTTTACTTGAGTCTTCAGCTAAACAGCAATTAAAATGCATAACTTTTCTTTGCATTATTTAATATTTATACATAATTAACTCTGCAACTCCCCAACCACAACACCCTACTGCTATAGACAACGAAGACAAGACGAAGACAGGCCAACCAAGCACTAACTGTATTATCAACATTTTTCTACTCTGATTTAGAGGTGTACTGCGTAACATTTTTAGTGAATGGTCCATCACCTGCTTGTTTCCATGGAAATATTATTACTTTGTCTAGAATGTTTCACAGTATGGATTAAGGCTATCTATCCCAAGTGAGACAAGCAGGTTACAGCACTACGTTACACAAACACCCATAATGAATAAATGCTAGTTGGATATGTTTAATGTCACGCCATGGAACATTCCAGGCAAAGCAATACCATCTCCACGGAAACAAATAAGTAACAGTAGTAAGTTGAGCTGCGCACCTTTAAAGACATCTTACTGCTAATAAAAGACAGTCAGTAAAGTGTCTTTCTAAACCTGCTCAAATCGTGACAGAAAGTAGGGAGTTGAAGAGGTCTGGGTGATGTAAAGGACACCTCATTCACTGCAGAATCACACATGAACAAGAGGCCAAGTGCAGAGGAAGTTCAGCCAACTCCAAACTCACTTCCAGCTTAAAGTGCTCACAGAGTACACACTTCCCAGAGAATGAGACATGGAAGTCACAAAATGTATCCAGAGTATCTAAGAATGTAAACTAATGTATGCGAATATGATTTTCTGGTGAATTTATGGTGGGTTGTCTAGCCACTTGTTTATCTCGGAAATCAATGGAATGTTTTACAATATTAGCCAGCCTGGTGCCACATAGTGCCTCCGCTCAATTTCATTTCTCTCCAGTGACTAGGTCAGGAATCGGAATACACTAGATGGTTCGCAAAAACCCCAGCCAATCAGCAAAGAGCCATATATTCAGTATTGTCCGTGATTCCTGAGATCGAGGATTTAAAGGCGAAACAAAGAAAATGTTTGTTGAATTTTATCAAGGGGAAAGACGTTATTGCTCTTCTTCCTAAGGGGTTTGGGAAAAGCTTAATATACCAGTTAGCCCCGATAGCAGCGCATTACATATGTCACGAACAAATAGCAGTGATTGGTTAAATAAAAAAGTACCTGCCTACCGTTGAGGTCAGACGGTTTCTACGAAGTGAAACTGGCTGATGGATCAGGCTATTACAATATGGCATCAAACTGCAAATCTCACTTGCGTTTATTTAAAGTCACGGTATGTCACTTTTTAGCTAAAGAGTAGACTAAAATAAATAAATCATCTTTTTGCTTTTTGATTGTTTTCCAAAATGATTAAGTTTATTGCGAACTGAGAACATGAATCATTACTCTGAGTGGGCTTGAATCCTCACAAACCTGACGCTTATTTGACCAGGAGGAGGGCCACCTACTGCTTGTTTCCAAAGAAATATTGATCCTTTGGCTATAATCTTCCATATGAATGAAAATACATTGAAAAACATGCATTCTTTCTGTGAGTAGGGTTGCCTCTCCGCAGATCTAATATGTAACATGCCCTGGTGGTTTCATCTGCTTGTGTTTATGGAGACAAGATGGTCCAGAAAACTTTCATGGTGTAGTACTTATACAGAGTACTACACAGAGTACTTATAATATACTTTGCTTTTCTGTACGATGACACTTTTTTCTACTTTTTATGCCTTTGTGGCTTGACTACTTACTACAGTATATGCTTACTATCTCACGGATAGGCCATACTGTCCAAACGCGTGACTACGAACCTGCTCCACACTGAATATCCGGGAATCGTATGGAATTTGCTCATTCTTTGTTTTATTTTTTGCCCTAAAACACTAGGCTGCACTTTTCCTCCCACGAAAATAAACGGTTACACCCCTCTCCCCCAAAACTGCACTTATCATATTTATGCTCCGTATAAAAGTATGCAAGGTATGAAACTGCCTCCACCCTGTGTTGGGAGTTTATAGCCGTCTTATCACAGGAAGTCTCTTCAAAATAAAAGCATGATGTGGAACTTTTTCCACTCGATTCTTTCAAACACGAATGAGAACACGTCGTGAGACTTTGTATGAAGACACAACATATTGCAAAGTAGTAGATCACGCGTGTTATAATCAAATTGTGCGCTAATGTGGATAAGACGTTGCTTTGCGCACATCGGGAAGCGCGTAAAACCTGTGCGCAACTTGACACCGTTTCACCTTTCCTTGATCCCGAGTCTGCAGCCAATCAGCGGCATTCAGGGACACATGAACGGTGTGAATAACCACCGAACAGGCTCCGGGCAGGCAGTAGGAACAAAGGATCCCAGCCGCCCTCCGCCAACAAAACCTTCTTTCTCTGCGCAGATTTGCACTTTTCACCGGCCACTTACGCGTCATAATTTGGACACGACTCGATAAAAACTATACGTAATTCCTTGCGTGTTGTCCCATCGCTCGCTTTCGTTGGAGAGGTAGGAAGAAGAGAAGAAACTTAGCGTCGCGGTGCTGCTGCTGCTGCTGGTGGAGAGAGTACGTTTGGTCGTTTGCTTGGAATCTTTTCTTGGATTCGCGGATTTAAAGGCAACGCGTGGTAAGTCATATTTTTCCATGTTTTTAAGAGTTTGTACCGGGACAGAATATCACGTAGCGTCGTGACTGCATTTCTTTGTTGTCGTCATCCAACTGGGAACTCGTGGCTCAACTTTATTATGGTGTTTGCTGCGCTCCCGATGGGCTTTAACGTTGTTTTTCGTGCGTAAAATGTTGGTGTCTTGTTTAAAACATGCTCTTGTCGAATTCGGTATGTTGTATAACGCAACTTGGCACGGGATCTCATGTTTTCCATGTATTTGAACGCCAGAAAAGAGAGTGATTTGTAACATGAAACGTGTAATGACTACTTTCTACGTCTAAACTTAAGTATTAGCTTGTTGTATAAAAGGATTTGGCTTGGAGTCGAGTTTTATAAGCGTAATCAAATGCTTCCTTCGTCTCAAATTGCAATGCGTATTTTTCATCGCTTTCCTCTTGGGGCAGTCATTTTTTTTAGCTCAACAGCACGACTCCAGGTGAGCACTCCCCCTTGCTTTCATTAGAAAAAAAAATCATAGAAAAGAACGAATGTGTCATCATAAAGTTTGGAGCCTGAACGCATCACGAACAGTTTTTTTTTTTCCTCCCGGGATGTTTGGTCGGCCCCTGTCCAGACTTAGAGCGAGGAGAGACGGTGTGGGTGGACCAGAGCAGATGGCGAGATTGTGGAGATAGTTGGCACATGTAATTATATGGGAGTGTGTGGCTGTAAGGGTGGATCACGTCTAGGGATGTCAGAGCTCAGTGTCTGTAACTAAAGTAAAGGTTGTGAAAAGTAACAAGTAAACTTAAAGGGCCCATATTACTTTGTTTTCTGATGTTATAATCTTGTTTCTTCATCAAAAACACATCCGGAGTTGTGTTTTGTGTTGCATTCACGCATGTTTAACATACACATCCTGAATATTTTAGGCTCACTTCTTCTACAAAAAGAAAACAATTTGTTCCACCTTGTGATGTCATGTGGTAATACAGGAAGTGCCCCACTGTGCGCTTAAAGGCCATGCACCTTCACTAGTAACATCTGGATAATTTCAGCTCTGGAATTGCCAATCTCTACTGAACAAAAGGTAAAAAAAACAGCTGTTAACTTGGAAAAAATACTGCTTGATGACATCACAAGATGGAACTTTAGAGATGTAGACAGACTGATAATGCAGGATTACTCAAACATGTGTGAATGAAATGAAACACAACTCCGGATATGTTTTTGATGAGGTAACAACATTATAACATGGCGTAAAGCTCTCAAGAGTAAATTTTGTGTAATATAGGATAATAGTCAAATTTCTCCATTTTCTTTGGCAATTTGAACTGAAACATTTGGATTTGAAGTAAACATTTGGATAATTAATTATATTGTCCCTCCTGAAATCGGTGCACACATTATCCTGTAACTGTATTTGTAAAAAACAATTGAATCCTCATCATGACATCTCTACGGAACTCGAGGCAATTAAAATCAAATAAGTCGTAGACATGGTGGCTATATTTTTGACTAGCTTTGTATCAGCTACAGTTGTGAAAGATTGGCTCAAGCAAGGACAAAAATGTAAATGCATTCTGTCAAAGGACACCATTAGCGTTACTGAATTAGTAAGTTGACATTAAAATCAATACTGAATTAACTGGAAGGAGGTGGGAGATGTATCTAAAAATGTTGCAAGTGTTATTTGCAATGTAACATATAAGGACATTGTCTACATTTAAATGCTTTAAAATGGCTGTAAAAAGAGACAGGAACATCTAAGGATATAAAGTAAGTTTGTCAAAAATATTGAAAAATATTTATATAAAAAAAATACTTATCTCTAATAAAACCAGTGTGCCTATTGACTATGAAAATTGTAACTGTGTTTCTAAAACTCATGAAAAGATGTTTTATAACTAAGACATTTAAAAAGAAAATGTCCAAAAAAGAATAAACCATTTCAGATTTCCATTAATAATATAGTTACGCAAAGATGGTACAGTGTGACACCGGAATGATTCCATGGAAATGGAAAGTTTAAATTGTATTTCTGAAAATCGTACTTGTCTATGGACATAGAGAAGTTTTTTGCTGTTCTGTGGAATATTATAGCCAAAAGAACAACATTTCCATGGAAGCAACCAGGAGGAGTCATGTTTGTGGAGATACAAGTGTGCTCAGTGTAAGTGTATGTTTTTCAATGCAATAAAGACAACCAAACAGAAAAATCACTTTTTTTTTCTCATTTTTAGTCTATTTTTTTATCAAAAAAGTTACATACTGTCTTTAATTTTGAAGCCTTCAGTCAACATATTTCAACCTTTATTTGGCTGATAGTGTATTTTAAAGTTTAAATGTACAATAGGAGTGATTGTTTCACTAGTCAACAAATCCCCCAAAATGTTGCGCTGACTAATTAACTTCTAAGTAAATGTTAATTGCAGCCCTAAATGAGATTATGCAAAACATACTGAGATGTAAGTGTCAATACGGCCCACCTTTGTTGCTGTGTATATCTGACAGTAAAGTCTTCTCACCGGGTTGATGACTTGAATGCCAAATAGCTGGGGGTTGATCTGACAGACAGCTCGGACACTTCAGCTCAGAGGAGCTGGTGACCTCCTGCTCTTTCGCACCATCTGGACCCTGCCCTCCTGACCGCATAGAGCTGACCAATGAACTCCTCTCCCCGTGAGTCTGGGTGGTACACATAAATGTTGTGTGCCCCCAGGTCGAAGCAGTCCCATTTAAATCCTCTCAGCCAGACTAGGAATAACCCAGGAAGACTCAAAATGTATGCTCTCAGGACCACCAGAGGAGTTTGAGTTTGACTTTGCAGTATTAGAGTTTAAAGACCTTCTGTGTCTGTTGTATAGTTCTATGACACTCATGGATCATTATGGACATTTTAAATCACCATATTCATCTAAAACAAGGCCGATGACTTCTACATTTTAAAACTGTGCTGCCTAATGGGAGATGACATCGCTGTAAACATCATCACAACAAAGAGCCCTGACGTTGTTGGCACCTCCAGTGGATAGCTGCATATCAGTTTCTTTTTCATTTGTACCAACATGACTGTACATGATGCTGCTGAGTTCTGCGTGCATCACAGATTAAGTAAAATAGGAGAATGCAGTAAGTAATAGAGCGTGAGCGTGTGGGCTGTTAAAGATCTCTCAAATGTGCACTGATCACTCCAAATACAACTTCGGGTGAATAAATTGTACTGTGAAACAACTATAACCATGGTTAGCAGCTCTGAAAAGTCGATTTTGCATAATAGGTCTGTTTTAAAATCAATGTGTGCCAGGACTAAACCGATCAATAAAGCCAGATTTAAATCAGGCTTGCAACGATTACACCATAAAAAAATATATTGTTGTAGTTTCATAAGCACAATCGTTGCCTTGACTACAGAATCAAACACGCTTATGAGAAGATCTTTTTATTACAAAGACAGTGGCATTATATTAAATCAAAATGTCAAAAATTAATAAGCAGAATAAGCAACACGTTATCTATCTATCCAAGAAGGCTTCAGTTAACATGTTTCAACCTTTATTTCTTGGATAATATATTAAAAATCTCATAAATTTCACTTGTCGACAGAAAAAATGACTTGGTTACGGACTTACTTAAAGATGCATTGTGTAACTTTTGTGGTGGAGGATCCATCAAATGCTTTTCTCCGTAGAGATGTTATCACGTTGTCTAGAATGTTTCACAGTTTGGCATTAAACATTTTTATCTCCATGGAGACCAAACCAGACCAAGTTACATGTCAGGTCTGTGTAGAGTCAGAATGCCTCTGGAATTGAATAAATGTAAGTTAAAGTTGTTTAATGTTATACTGTGGAACATTCCAGGCAGAACTATGACATATCCATAGAAACAAGCAGGTGACGGACCCCCAACAAAAAGTTACGTAGGGTACTTTTAAAGACTTTTTGGTGGATGGCCTCCCACCTACTTGTCTTCATGGAGATGTAATTGCTTTTTCTATAATTCATAGCACTGAACTTGCCTCTCCATGGAAACAATTAGTAGGCACCTGCAGGTCAAAGTTAAGTTGCGAGATCAGTGGAGAGGCGAGTCAGAATTTATGATGACTTGAGTGCCGTATGGTGGAACATTCAAAGTAAAGCAATAATGTTTCCCTGGAGACGAGCAGATTACAGAACCGCCGTTAGAAAAGTTGCATAAAGCATCCTTTAACGACTACCAAGACGTAAATGGGAACTAATCCAGGACTGACCCAGGTCTAATTGACGTCTCTAAGCGAGGAGTAATGTAGTGATCGAGTTTCATTGACAAGTTTGCTAAACCGTGAGTTTGGTTCTAGTCAATACAGGTCAATACAAGATGGACAAATCCTCGAGAATGCCTTCTAAACAAATTGGCAAAATGAGGATTTGAACCAGACTAAACTAGACCATGAATGGACCAAGCTACATGTTATTTATTCCATTTATGCATTTCATTTTTTAAGAAATAATCCTTCTATTTCCCAGTTCTTATTGTATTTTTCAATTACGAACAAACATTTACCCTTGGAGATCTCAGCAGAAAAGAAGGAATAAAATAAGCAATATGAAGTTGCCTTATAATAAAACTATATTAAATTAAATTATTAAAATGGCAGCACTATAGCAAATGATCTTTCAATATGTTATTTTCACAATCTACATCTCACAGTGTGTTATTTATTGCAGTATTTTGTGGAATAACAGTGCTTAATACAACATTATTCATGTTGTCTGCACTGAAATAAAGAAGATATATCCATGGGTATATCCTATTCATTTCTTTGAACCAAATTCAGTTGTAAATGAAAATGGACTTTGGCACACCAACTGAGGCACATTTAGAGAACCTATATGCACTAACCAAAGCCCTGCAGCATTATGGGAATTGCGGTCTTTTTCATGAAAGATGTAGGCCTCGTCTGTGACCTCACCTGAACTGGTCTTGATGCACTGGATATTGATTTGTTACTGGATATGTCCCATGAGCACTGTGGCACAGATGGACAGAGAAACCAGGTTAGACATGAGGCCATTAGGTAATTATCATGACAAGGATTAGCCGATTGATCGGCTGCACCGTATTAGATTAAGCCCCCAAATTTATTTCCACTCTATATTTACCAACAAAAAAAAAAAAAGAAAAAGAAAAAAAATGGACTCTCTCTCTTTCTCTGTCTCTCTGCAGCGCTGTGCCACAGATTGGTCTGTTTATGGGAAACACTGACACATATCAATAATGTTTAACATGTTAATTTCCCAAATAGTTAAATGAACCTTGACGTAATGCAATTATCAGGCAATGTAATTTAACAACGGTTAACAACTGTTGACATTTGAACAAGTTTTGCAACTTTGGAGATGTAGTTAGGATTAGAAAATATTCTATTTACTCAAGTACTAATTGATATTAAAGCTAAACATGTAGTATAAAAATGTATAGGACAAAACTGGACCATTCCTGAACATTTTTACAATCATCAGACCCAGTATAGGACCCCATGGAACTTTGAGTTGAGAAGTACTTTCTGTTTCGCATTATGGTGCTGTGAATGCATTTGTTTCATAGTCTTTATTACCTATTTCAACTGGCTGTATAAATGTAATCTTTTTTTAGATAAGATTATTACATAATAATAATAATGCCTTAGTAATGCGCCTTACAGACTCCCAAAGCCTCTCAAAGCTGTCGTCATCATTCACTCACTCCACTCTCTTACTATGGTGGTAAACTACTATTGTAGCCACACCTGCCTTGGGGCAGACTGATAGAAGAGAATCTGCCAATCTGCACCATCAGTCTCTGACCACCAACAAGACTCAATCACACACAATTTCATATTAGGCAAGGTGGCTGAAGTGTCATGCCCAAGGACACGATGATAAAACCTTTAAGTTTGAAGACCACTGCTGTAATGACCTGTCAAACTGTGATATTGAAGATATTCTGGTGTCACTCTAAACTTGAGATACACGCATTATGTAAGAGAAACATATTTCCCATAACGTCATATTTGGCCTAATATCGGAGTCTTGACCTCACATTGAGATAATGTGAGATTGTCTGTGTTATTTTGATAAGGCATTGTCATGTATCTCTTTGGCGCTCCTTTATTTCTCGTGTCTTATCAGGTGTCTGTTTTTTGTCGTTGGTCTTATCAGACGGAGCTGCAGCGTGTGACTGATAACGTCATGAGAAAAGCACTTGAGAAGGTGAGAGATTTCCTTGTTGGAAGTGTGTGTGCATCGGACACATCAAATTAGATTTCTTCTTTTAACCTTGCACTGTTCTGTTTAGTTTTTGACAGTTTGAATGTTGAAATATTGACTTAATATATGTAGCAAGTAGGGATGAGCATTCGATAAAATTTTCTTAATCGATCGTCGGAAGAATTAACGATCGATTATCGATTAATCATTAACGTGTTTATATTAAAATGATCATCATTATTATTACTATCTGCACTACTAACCTGCATACATAAATTCAACTTTACGACATATAAACCGTAACGACTCTAGAGCCACATCAATCCGTTTGAGATTATAATGTGTTTAACGCAGTTTTGCGCAACTCTCACAAAAACGAAACTTAAAACCGCATCGCTAATTTGCAGAAACTAAGCAAAGATAAAACTACAGCTCTTGTGTCGCTGATGCGGTCAACTTCTGTTGGATTAAAAGACATGATTCAGTGGAATACAGGTTAGTGTGACCATATTTGCGTTTGTAAAAACCAGGACACCGTACGGGGGGAGGGAGGTGGGGACTCGTCATCGACATTGCGCGACTCTCACCTGGTAAAGCTTTTTCCCACTGGACACCGAAACATATGTTCCTGCTTTGTACACTGTCCACATGGACTCACTCTTGTCCCGAACGCAACGGAAAGAATTTCTTGTACAAGTCATCGTTAAATACGCATTTGCGTTGCAGACTGACCGTTTGTGTCTTGCTCCTTCTGAGTGCAAAGAGCTACATGTACGGACCCCTGTTTGGTCACGCTACGCACAGCAACCTACATTCGGTTTGTCGATTAAAATGAACGTAATCGATGAAATTCTTAATGATCAATTATCGATTAATCGATTAATCATGCCTATCCCAAGTAGCAAGACAGATCATTGCCAATCCTGTGGCAGTAAGGGCGCATAGTGCTGTCGAGGATTTACACTCTTGTTTAGGAAGAAGTAGCCTGAGCCACAGTGTGTCCCTTTGTCTCCTCACGTGTTCACAAGTTTTGACTTTAATCTGCACAATTTGACTAAAAGTCCAGCGTCTCTCCCTCTGTGTCTGTGTGTCTGGAGTCGTCTGACCTCTTCCCTGTCCTCTCTCTGATCCTGCCGCAGCTCCTCACCTTTTCTCCACTTTCTCTCCTCTGGTGCTTCTCATCTTTATAATCCACGTTATGGAAAGTAAACTACTATTTTCTTCTTAGCACACGGACATCGCACAGGCTTAATATATTGTACAAAATTATTCCAACCTTTAAATGTGAACGTCTCTGGAATTATTTGCTCACTCTGTTTTTAATGAGATGGAAGAAGATCGATTCGAAAACTGAGATCGATCAATATGGGGGGAAAAAAATTAGATTCTTCTTTCCCCATATCACCCAGCCCTAGTCTCCACTCTGACAGAGGATTGGCTATACACCTTACCACTAGAAAAACACAGTCATCTTGAACAAAGTGCCCAAATTATGCTGTTTTCCGAACTTTATTATGTTGTTTCCTCTTCACAAACGTACCTGGAGTTGTGTTTTGCTTCATTCACACATGTTTAGCTTTCTTCTCTCAGACAGAAAACACTTTGTTCCATCTTGTGATCTTGTGATAATACAGGAAGTGCTCCACTATATTGGATCATTACAGCCCTGGAATTGCCAATTTCTACTAAACAAAAGCTAAAAGGTAGCTGGTAACTTAAACTATTGCTTCATGACATCACTAGGTGGAACAGAGCATTTAGAGCTTTGGACAGACTAATAAGAATTACTCAAGCATGTGTGAATGAAACTAAACACAACTCCAGATATGTTTGTGATGAGGAAACAACATTCTAACGTGGCTTAAAGCTCCCATGAGACAGTTTTGCGTAATATAGGACCTTTTAAATGTCACTGAATCCTGGCCTTGATTAAAATTCAACTAATTACACACCTCTTAAAAAGGATGATTTCTCTGTACTTCAACCAAGACTGTTACAGGCACATTCTGAAATGATTTTTTTCTGATGTGGAAAAAGTTTGAATGATGTAGACTTTCTCCTCTTCAGAAGCTGTAGTCGGAAAAAGCGTTGCTACAAGGACAGAAATGATTACATAAAATAAAAACAAAATTGTGAAGCCAACATTGTGAACCAAACCACACAATTTATTTATTACAAATGATGTCAATCTTGTCTCGTTCTTGTGGACCCAATCTCTTGTCACGTCATTTTGTGGGAATTGTGCGGTCGTCTAGGAATGGGTGATCGACAGGCATGAAAAACTATTATTATTATTATTTAATAGCTATATTCAGACCAGATTGGGTCCATCAAAGCAGGGTTTCTTTTTTTTTTTTGCCATAAAGTGATGGTTCACTTCACAATTTTTGAACTTGCCTTGTATTGTAACGCTACTTTTTTGGAACTACAGCTTCTCAATAGATGCAACTCATGAGCACTTTACCCAGTTTTATCCAATCCAAATGTAAACACATGGAAAAATCTATATCGTTTTTGTTCAGTGTGAATGGACTATAAAATTAACCACAAAATTACTTTTATTACTTTATTACCTTTCAGTGGGAGATTAAAATGAAATGAGCAAACACATCTAATGTATTCTCAGCTGTTAATAATGTAATTTTAATCAAATTTAATTGTTTATTAACTGACGAATATTGAGTAATAGGGATGTAACAATAGCCAAAATATCGTGATATCGTATTGTCAAATTTCTCACAATAATATCGTGGACCATCACAATGTATCGAATTACAAGTCTCTTTGTTTAATTTAAGAGTTATGGTGCAGCAATAGCTAAAAAAAAAAGACAGAGGGAACTACATAGACCATGATCCTTTGCTCCATTTCAGTGCAGAATACATGAAGATAGAAGTTTTAAGCACTTTTGAGTCTTAGTTCTTTTAGATTAAGTCTTGTCAAGGCTATTACTGTTATTGTTCCCACGATATCGCAATAAATATCGTACTGTGACGTTCATACTGTGACAATATCGTATTGTGAGACTTGGATATTGTTACACCCCTATTGAGTATGTCTTCAGAACAACAATTCCAGTATTATACATTTTTCTCTTTCCAATCCCAATCTCATCCCATCCCCAACATAATTCTTATTTAAAAGTGGATATACATTTTACCAGAAGCCTCTCCCTTTATACTGCATGAGTATGTGAATGGTGTGTGTAAGCTCTCTGTAGTGTTTGAAGCTGACTCAGTGAATTGTTAATGTGTTGAAATCCCATTAGGAGCGATCCGGAGCAGAGCCACGCCTGCGCTTTCCAGGACAGCGGGTCACTTTAACAGCTCCTGTGGCCCTGTGTTTGTCCTGAGTAACACAGGCTAATCACTGGAGCGGCTCAGACTAAATCCTGAAGCACTTTGAACATGCTCCCTCCTGCTCAGCACCATTTAAACAGCTTTAAATGACTCCAGCAGCAGAATCCCTCAAAACAATTACCCCTCACACCAGCCTGCCACTTAAAGGTGCATTGTCTAACTTTTCTGATGGAGGGTCCGTCACCTGCTTATTTCTGTGGAGATGTTATTGCTCTGCTTAGAATGTTCCGCAGTAGTGCATTAAACAGCCCTGCCTTACATTTATTACATTTTATAATTTTATAGCTCAGAAATACCTAAAAAAAAAAAACAGATATTCTGACTATGAGCGTAGTTGCCTCGCCACAGATCTGACCTGTAACTTTGTCTGGTTTGGGATCCATAAAGATAGAAATGTTTATTATCATACTGTGAATTCTATCCAGATAAAGCAATAACTTATGGAGAAAAGAATTTGGCAGACCCTCCACCAGAAAAGTTACACAATATACCTTTTTAAGGAGGTCTATTATCAAAAAGGTTTGAGACTTGTCAGAGCTTTCAACCATGTTGTTTCCACTTCATTCACCCTCCAATAGCAGTATTTTGAGTGATTCATGCTGTTTGGGTAATCTTTTAGAGATTAGACCTGTCATGATAATTGCTATATCGACTTATCGTTCAGTACAAGATGGATAGAACGATCATTTTTAGGGCTCAGTATTTATCATGGAGATTTTTTCTTTGTACTAGTGGAGACCTTTGTTCTTTTTCTGTACTATGATAAGATTTGAGCTGTAGAAGGTTGTTTTTTTTTTTTTTACCTATAGTGTACATTTAGAATACATTTTGGGTGATACTTCTGCTTTATGGTTTAGTTTAAATATTGTTTTTCATCTACATTTGCTTCAACGATCACACTTTAAAATATGTTATCATTTGTTAGAGATTGAATAATGTGGGATATTTCATCACCAGTACCAATGGTTTGGCACCCAGAGCAGCTGATGGGAGATATTTTTGGGGCTGTATATTGGGCCGACTTTGATTATTTTCCTCAAATGATGTCATTTAATTTAACTACAACCTTACCCACAGACTTGTTCTACCATAAGCCTATAAGAGAGCAGAGAGTAGTCATGTTTTGCACAGTTAACTCTGAGCTCTTCAAATAAAGTTTTATGTGCAGCAGGTTGACAAAAACAAAATATCAGTCCGCAATGGAGATTTAAGGTTCATCCCTGATTTGCCAAAAAAGGCAAATCTCCAAAATTTAACTTTAAATTACTTTTTTAATCGTTTGAGACCTGCTGAAATGGCCAAGACTTATTTTTTTTAGCACATTTAATTAGAGTTTCTGTCCCAACTTTGAGCAAACCAAATGGGCATACAAAATGGTTAGAAAAATTAAGAAATCAATTGAATCACTTAACCAGCTTAAGTCTTTATCTTTAAATAATTAAGTGGATCTTATCTTTTTCTTTTAATTGTTCTAAAAATCTCTGCAAAATGCTTTTACTTTTTACTCCTAAGTGCATTTTTAAAGAGGTTCTTGAAAACTTAAGTAGATTTTTTTTTCATGCGATACTTTTACTTAAGCTTTTGCCTCAGTATCTGTACTTTTACTTAAGTAACAAAAGTGAGTACTGTACACAGCCACTGCTC